TGGAAAATGAAAAGAGACTAGAAAAATATTAATTTGGGAGCATTGGGGGCCAGGCGAGAGCCCGCCTCTAGTGGGAGGATTACACTCTTGCTCTGGCCTAGCTATCCCTTTTATTGAGACTCTGGGATACACCCATAGCCCTTGGGCAGGAAACTCCGATAACAGAAATTTACATAAGACAACAGAGCTGGAGGCTGCTTGAGCTGAGTGTTTCAACTAAATAATGATTAGAGCAATTAAGGTTGTGGACTAGCCTTCTGGTTTCCTGTCTACAGCTCTCTATTAGTGAGACAAACCCCTGGGATTGGATAGAAAGTGAAATGATGGCCAGGTGCTGATTTACACAGGTGGGTGCAGGTAGTTAACAGTCAGCAGTTAACGTGATAACAATGACAATGAGGGAATCTGTGGTCTCCACCCTGGGCCCCAGGTTGTGCCCCAAGGGGTCAGGAAAAGGGAAGTTACTAGTTAAGGTGTGTTATCTTAGATAAAAAAAACAAAACAGCAGGCTCAGTAGAAGAGGAAGTTGGTCTTCTTCCCGGAGGCCACCCGCCTGGGACGTGACTACCCACCTTAGACTGCTTTTAGTTAAAGGTTTCTAATGTCAGAAAGGCCCCACACAGGCCTTCCCGGACGTGGCCCTTCCTTTGTCACAGTAGGAATGTCTATTTGTTAATATAGGAAACTCAGTGTCTTCTGTGTTGTCTTGTTTATGCTGGTAAGGTAAATATACTTTGGAACTGAACTCATCACTAGATGAATTCACTGCTGTATTCTAAGTTTTATTCTGGAACTGGATGAAGGACAAACACAAAACACTAACAGGAAGAGTGAAACTTGCGAACTCAGGCGACTTTCAACATACTGTGCCTTTGTCGAGCTTTTTAAAAAATATATATTTTATTGTTTTTATAGAGAGCAAGGGAGTGGAATAGAGAGTCAGAAACATCAATGAGAGAGAAACATCGGTCAGCTGCCTCCTGCACACCTCCTACTGGGGATGTGCCCACAACCAAGGTACACGCCCTTGGCCAGAATCTAAAGTTGGACGCTTCCATCCGCAGGCCAGTGCTCTATCCACTGAGCCACACCGGTTAGGGTTTGTCCAGCTTTAAATGAATTGAATGGAACTAATTCCTGAAACTGATGCTTCTCGTTGAGAAAAGCCATTTACATATTTGAAGACAATATGGGGTTCAAACGTTTCTTATTTGTGATCGCCCTCGGAGCTTTCCTGCCCTCCTACTCTACCACACAGATGGCTGACTGCGTCAGACTGAAATCAGCATGGGCACTCCCCTTATGACACCAAGTGGGGGGCAGGGCTGAGACACCGATTCGGGGAATAGTACAACTGGGCCGAGCCCCAAGGCTGGTCACCCGGAGGTCGGCAGCTGCCCCCGACCCTCCCCAGAAGTTGGAGAGTTTCTAGAAAAGCACTAATTCTTTCCTTTGGCACTTCCTGGTTCCTGCAAGAACAGATGGCTCCTCTTAAGCTCTTTTCTACAGAAAACATTGTTTGTTCCTAGACAGTCTGCAGATCTTTTTTATCTCCCTTTTTTCTATTTTATAAATTGTCTTTTAAAAATTATTTTTATTTTTAATCCTCATCTGAGAATATTTGTCCATTGATTTTTTTTTTATTGATTTTGTACAGAGAGGAAGGGAGAGAAATAGAGAGTTAGAAACATTGATGAGAGAGAGTCATCAATCAGCTGCCTCTTGCACACCCCCTACTGGGGATATGCCCGCAACCAAGGTACATGCCCCTGACCAGAATCGAACCCGGGACCATTCAGTCCCCAAGCCGACGCTCTATCCATTGAGCCAAACCGGTTTCGGCTCCATTGATTTTTTTTTTTTTTTTTTAGAGAGAGGAAAAGACAGAGAGAGACATCGATGTGATAAACACATTGATTGGTTGCCCTGCACACACCCTGACCTGGGCCCGGGCTGGGGAGGAACCTGCAGCTGAGGTACGTGCCCGTGACCTGAATCGAACCCCAGACCCTTTCGGTCCACAGGCGGATGCAGTATCCACTGAGCCACACCGGCAAGGGCTGTAAAATATCCTTTTGATGTTGTTGGATGAAACCAATCTATTGCTTTCGCACTGTGTCTGCAGCCCAGGATGTCTTAACAATTAGCTAAATGTCTGAGTTACTATGACAACCGCACCACTCTGAGCCTGGGCCGTGGTAACCATTACCAGCTCTAGGAGCTGGGGTGAGGGTGAAATGAGATGGCAGATGTGAGACACAGACCGGAAACAGATGGTGCTAGTGCCGTGGCTGCAAACATTGCTCCTCCCTGAGGAAGTGCAGGCTCTGGGATGGGCCGGAACCTGCTTTTAGGATTTTCCAAATACCTGACCCTTATGGTGACCGGGCCTTGCCCAGCGCACTGCCCATGGCCTCATTCCTCTCTCTCTCTCTCTCTCTCTCTCTCTCTCTCTCTCTCTCTCTCTCTCTCTCTCTCTCTCTCTCCCCCCTCCGTCTTTTTCTTTGTTTGTTATTTTTGCTTCTTTTTTCTTCTTGTTCCTCTCTCCTGTTCTGCAGCCTGATTTGCCCACACCCTGCTTTTCGCAGGCTCCTGCCTCCCACGTATGTGGACTCCGTTAGATTCTCCCTCTCCTTCCTTCCTGCCTTGACAACTCCTCCTCACCCTGCAGGCATCTGCCTGGCCCGGGCCTTCCCGTGAGGGCTCTGTGACAGCTGCTCCCGTGGCTCTGGGTGACTGCCAGTTCCCTCCTGATCAGACGGTTGTCACTCCCTAGGGTCTGAGCTCACCCACCCGCAGTGGCTCAGAGGTTGGGTGCTGACCTATGAACAAGGAGGTGGTAAGGTAAATATACTTTGAACGATCCTGAGTTCAGTTTCAGTCAAGGGCACATTCGCGGGTTGTGGGCTCAATCCCCAGTAGGGGGCATGTAGGATTCTCTTAATCATTGATGTTTCCTTTAAAAAAAATATTTTATTGATTTTTTTACAGAGAGGAAGGGGAAGGGATAGAATTAGAAACATTGATGAGAGAGAAACATTGATCAGCTGACTCCTGCACACCCCCTACTGGGGATTTGCCCTCAACCAAGGTACATGCCCTTGATCGGAATTAAACCCGGGACCCTCCAGTCAGCAGGCTGACGCTCTATCCACTAAGCCAAACTGGCCAGGGTTATCATTGGTGTTTCTATCTCCCTCTTTTGGTCTGCAAACTCATTAGTCAGTAGAGCCAAATATCAACAGTACAAGGATTGAAATTTCTTTTGAGAGCCAAATTTTTAAAACTTCTAATACCACTTCTTCAAAATAGCCTCACCCAGGCCGTGGTATTTTGTGGAAGAGCCACACTCAAGGGGCCAAAGTGGCTCATGTGGCTCGTCAGCAGCAGTTTGCCAACCACTGGACTAGATCATATTCCTCCTTTCTTTAATAGTGTACGTAGACTCAGATGCTAGGGGTTGTGTGTTAACTCCCAACAGCTGTGTCCCCTCGGAAATGCTACCTCTCCTAGCCCTCCTCTCCTCATCCCCCAAATCAGAGAGAATGATGGGAGGTTGTCGCAGATTAAATGCACTGGTAGATTGACAAAGCGCCTAGAACAGTGCCCGGCAAAGAACAAACCCCAATGAATGCTGCCCATCACCATTACGACGGCCGTTCTCGGGTCCAGTACAATATCAGGTATCTGATGAGATGCAGAAGCGAATTAACCAATCTCTCCCTTTTCACAGGACGAGCAAATGGGCTTTAGGCTCGTCTTTCCCCATCACTAGTCACTGCTGGCCACTGACATCTCACTAACCAATGAAAATGAGAGATACTAGAAATAAAGGCATATTTCTAATAATTGTGGAAGGGTAATTAAGAACCTGGTAAAACGTCCTTTTCTTTCCTCTGAGTATGAACCTATTAAATGTGCATTGCAGAAATTTGGTTGGGTTGGGGGATAAAGAGGGATGGGTGGGGTGTGGATTTGAATGACTGAAGCCAGAAGCAACTCTCAGTTGAGGATACCAGCCATGAAGGTGACCTGATTTACTTAGTTTTAATTGATTTCAGAAAGGAGGAGGAGGAGGGAGAGAGAGAGAGAGAGAGAGAGAGAGAGAGAGAGAGAGAGAGAACATCAATGATGAGAGAGAATCACAAATCGGCTGCCTCCTGCATGCTCCCTACCCAGGATCAAGTCCACAATCTGGGCATGTGCCCCAATGAGGAATCGAACCACAACCTCCTGGTTCATAGGTCGACGCTCAATCCCTGAGCCACCAGCCCGACTGGGAGACCTGGTTTGGGCCAGGCAGACACCATGTGTGAGACCAGTGCTACTTGCTCCATCCTCGAGGCTCTGTGATCTGGCTGCGGGGACCCAGGGCTGGTTTTAGTCAGAAGCAACCTACACACCTTGCAGATTATGGCTGACCAGATTGTGTTTGCCCTGTAGTTTTTAGACGATTCTTGAAGCATCCAGTTGTGCAGCCAGCGAGGCCTCTAGAAGATCTGTGTTAGTTCCCTCCTATACATGCACAGTTGTCCGTGAAATCTGGGGCAGGACTAACGTCTTTTCTCCACGCAACCATTCGGAAGGTCACTGAGAAGAGCTGGCATAAGTCTCCTGCTAAAAAGCAATGTTACATTTACAAGGGAAAGAGGAAATCTGGTGCTTCTCCTTGAATTTGCTGAGCATCGAGGGGTTTCTGGAATCGTTTGGGCATCTTGGGCCATTGTTCACGAAAAGGTTGGAAGGCGTGTGAAGTCCAGACCTCCAAGCTTCCTCCCGCAGGGGAACGGGGCCCTTCTGTGCCCACGATTTTTGTGGGGCTTCAAGTTTTTGGGGGGAAACAAACACAAACGCTCCTCCCCGCGAGGGGCGGGGCGAGGCCCAGGCGACGCACCAATCAGAGCACGCCCTGCCCTATATAAGGCGTGAGGGTGGGGCCCTCCCTCTCACCGCGCTTGGCCCGCCTCCCTGGCTCTCACCCGTGGCCCTTCTGCCCTGGGATGTCCGAGACGGCCCCCGTGGACCCGGCTGAGCCGTGCCCAGCTTTCATGGCGAAGCCGAACATCAAGAAGCGCGGCAGGAAGCAGGTGGTGGGCCTGGCGGGCGTGAACCGCAAGACTCCGAGCCCGTCGGTGTCCAAGGTGATCACGGAGGCCCTGGCGCTGTCCCAGGAGCGGGCGGGCATGTCGCTGGCCGCGCTCAAGAAGGCGCTGGCGGCCGCGGGCTACGACGTGGACAAGAACAACAGCCGCATCAAGCTGGTGCTCAAGAGCCTGGTGAGCAAGGGCACGCTGGTGCAGACCAAGGGCACCGGCGCCTCGGGCTCCTTCCGGCTCAGCAAGAAGGCGGCGCCCGAGCTGGTCAAGGTCAAGAAGGCCGCCTCCGCCAAGAGCAAGAAGCTGGTCTTGTCCAGGGAGGCCAAGTCCCCCAAGGGCTCCAGCGCCAACAAGCGAGCTCCGAAGCCGAGGGCGTCGGCGTCTCCGAAAGCCGCCCGAGGCGTCAGGAAGGCGGCCGGGCCCAAGGGCAGGCCCCCGCGCAAGAGCCCGGCCAAGGCCAAGGCCGACAGGCCCAGGGCCGGGAGGCCCAAGGGCTCCCAGCAGAAGACCAAGGCCAGGAAGGCAGCCTCTAAGAAGTAAAAGGCCAGCCTTCCAAAACGGGAAAGGACGCGAAGGAAACCCAAAGGCTCTTTTAAGAGCCACCCAAGTCGTAGGAAAATGGCGTGGCACTGGGGGCTGCTGGGAGCTCGGGACGTCCAGGTCCGCCTCTTTGCAGACTTGATGTTTGGTTAGACGTGGTCGGGCTGAGCAGCATCCGCGTGTGCACAGGTCTGCCTGTTTCCCGGTTCCATGATGCCGGGTTGGACTCGGCTACAATACCTCCTCCGCCTTCTGTAAGCTTACACTTCATTGGAAATGCCCGGGTCACGTAGAGAGGAGCGGAGAGCCGCTCAGAGCCCTTGCACACCTTAATTTTTCTTGTAACAAGTGTACATGGCATTTTACACCTTTATGTGGTGTCATCCTAATGAGTATCGATTGCTGGGAGGGAGAAAGAAGCATCAAGGAGGATAATCTGCTACCGCCTCCTGCTCACCCTGCTCTGGGAATCAAACCCCCGACCCCGGACATGTGTCCTGACCGCCTGGTTCATAGGTTGATGCTCAACCACTGAGCCACACCAGCTGGGCAAAAAGGTTAAGTCTGGTGTCCACGGGCATTGTAGGGGGCATACACACACCCCTGTGTATGAATTTGGATTATACGCATATATTTTTTACATTTTTAATGTTAAACTGCTTGTATGAGTGTGATTAGCCAGTAAAATTCACAAATATTTACAGTTGTCACAGAAGATTGAAATGCTATAGATCCTTATTTCCATAGTATATAGTTACTATGTCATTGTCACATTTTTTAAAAGTTGGCTTAATACTCTGGTTCTGTTTAATACGAGTGTGATTCCATGTGTTTTATGTAAGAAGAGTGTTTAGATGGTGCCCCACAGGCAGAAAAATGCTGACACTAGTCTTTAGGGAAATGGAGGCTGCACAGTTGTTAGGGGCTGAACCAGCCGTTTGTAAACAAAAACTGCTTGTATTGGAAAACGTTCCAACTCCATGCACGTTTCTCCTTTTAGAATTAGCCTGTTTTCACTTCATTTGTGATTTGGCATTCTTATTGAAAATAATCTAAATATGAAGTTCCTACTGTTCACCTTGTTTGGGGCCTTGGTATTTGAGTGCAAAAGGATGTACTGCGTCCTTCCAATTCGAGCATCTTCTCCAGGTGGCTCACTAGCGCCTCGCCTTTCAGAACTCATTTGTATGAGGGAGCCTCCGAGGAAAGAGTTTTTAAATCGCATCTCATACGGAAAACGACGTGACACCGTGGCTTCAGTCTGTGCAGAATCAGCCCCGAGTCCAGGCCTCGCTTGCATACGATGCCCTGTTTCCTTGGAGGCTGGCCGGCCATGTTCTGCTTTGGAAATTGGCGTTGGTTACCTGACAAGCGGTGGACTGACCTCGGACCCACATCCGAGACCTCACATCGCCGAGGGAAAAGGACCAACAACTGGCCTCCCTCCCGGCAGCCACCAGTCCCCGAGCATCACTCGGATCACATCGTCTACACCCCGTTCCACACCCGGTGCGCTCCTGTGCTTCTCTGGCCCTTTAGCGCCTGGCTCACAGCTAGAAACAGCCCGAGCGTGTGGCTCAGTGGTTGAGCGTCAACCTGTGAACCAGGTAGTCATATTTCAATTCCAGGTCAGGGCCCATCCCTGGGTTGCAGGCTCCATCCTCAGCAGGGGGCGTGCAGGAGGCAGCCCATCCATGATTCTCACCATTGATGTTTCTCTCTCTCCCTTCTCTGAAAACAATAAATCAGAAAATCCACCAAGGTTTCCCCTCCCGTTCTGGGAACAGCCATGAACCCCTTCCTTGAGCCTCAGGAAAATGGCCACGTCATCCCAGCCCCGAAATTTAACCTGGGAGCTTGTCCCAAGAGGCTCATTGACAACCGTGTGGATGAGGCCAGAGGAGGGAGCGTTTCTGAACGCCCAGCAGCCCATCGTGAGATGTTCCTGGAAATCTTCAAAAGGCCTTTGCTTTTGTAACAGAAAGCGAGTCTGTGGATTCAACCTGAGGACAGACATACACTTTTTATAACCATATTGTAATAGTTGATCCCTAACAACAAAAAACTTCCACCGTTTATAGCTGGCACATTTGAAATGGAAAAAAAAAAAGAAAAAAAAAATGAAATAAGGGAAAGCAGCTGGGAGTCCTGGGGGCGGGGTGGGGTAGGCGGCTGAGAGCTGGTGCCACAGGAAGAGCAGGCCGTCCGGGCGGAGGGAGTTAAGAGACTGAGTTCCAGCCCCGACCCAGAGTCAAAGGAAATTTGCAAACAGCTGGGCCTCGGGCTTAGGGCGGGGCCCAGCCTCACAAGGAAGGTGGTTCCATTTACTCCCCAATCCGGGAAGAATGGGGCTTCCAGAGCTTCCCCTTCCCGATGTCGCTGGGGACGAGGTTAGGCAGAACACCCGGCCTTTCTGCCCAGGTCAGATTCTACCGCAGTGGGTTCGGATGGTCTCGCTGCACCGCACACACATGATCGGGAAGGTCCTACTCCCCCACCTGTTCCTCTTCCTCCCCACTCCCCGGGCACTACGTGGACCGTCTGCTCCTGCGGGGTCACCCCAAAAGCCTCGCGGCCTCAACGTCACTGCGGAAGATTAAGGCCCCTCCGACACCGAACACCAGTGACAATAAAACTAGAATCAGAAAGCGCTCAGCTCCTCCGAGAGGGCGTGGGCGGCCCTGAAAAGGGCCTTTGGTTTTGCGCAGGCGCCGCGGGCGGGGAGCGGGCTCAGCCGCCGAAGCCGTAGAGGGTGCGGCCCTGGCGCTTGAGCGCGTACACCACGTCCATGGCCGTGACCGTCTTGCGCTTGGCGTGCTCCGTGTAGGTGACGGCGTCGCGGATCACGTTCTCCAGGAACACCTTGAGCACCCCGCGCGTCTCCTCGTAGATGAGGCCGGAGATGCGCTTGACGCCGCCGCGCCGCGCCAGGCGGCGGATGGCGGGCTTGGTGATGCCCTGGATGTTGTCGCGCAGCACCTTGCGGTGGCGCTTGGCGCCGCCCTTGCCGAGCCCCTTCCCGCCTTTGCCGCGACCAGACATGGCTGCAGACGCAGTGAAGCGCCAGGCGTCGCCCAGCCCTTTAAATAGAATGTCTGCGGACCTGATTGAGAACCTCAGACACACGCTGCGTTTTTTTTTTTTAAGTAGGTCACCACGGGGGCGGGGCGCGGGAGAACAGCTGACCATCTCAACGCTGTGATTGGCTAGTGAACCTGGGGCTATTCAGCCTGGGGCCAGATTTCATTTCCTTGAAAAGCTTTTCCTTTTCTGTTTTGTTTTTTTTCTTTTCGTGCCAGTTGGTAAATTGGGTGCATTTTCCTGTTGTAGGACCCTGAAAAAGAAGTTTGCTCAATCTTTCTTTTTATTTCCCCTGAGAAACGAGTATATTATGTAGTAGCTCCTGCGGGAATGTGGACACAGTAAGGAGGGTGGGCTTGTCGGTGGAGGGAGTTTTCCTTTCCATCCTTTTAATAGTCCCGTTTTAAAAGATGTGTTTTGATGACGGTCTTTTCTGTTTTGGAGAAAGTGTAGGCCTGGCTCTAAGGGTCTAGTGTTTGGAAAGATGGAAAGGCTGACAAGGAATAAAGATTAAAACCTCTTCCTTTTCTCCAGCGTTTGTATGTAAAGCCGGAGTCGGGGAGCTTAAGGCTAAACTCCCACAAGCAGCTGCCGGGACCCTCATTCTGGCCCGCACAGGTTTGCCTGCATTTCCTCGCCAGCTCCCTCTGCTCCTCTTTAGAGACAAGAACCGGTGTTTCCTAGAATTGGGGATTAAGTGCTGGGGAGGGCTAATCTGTGATTAAGGTCATACAGAGCCCTCGGGACCTTCCCTGGAAAGGCCTCTGATGAGGTTATTGGTTTGTAAACAAGGCATGGCAATCCTTGAAATTTTCCAGTCACTCTGGTTAAAAGAAAAAAAAAAATCTCTCCCCATCCTGGTTAATAAACAAATGCCTATTTTGTAAACTTACAATGAAACTGTTAATGTAAAAACAAACAAACATGCAGACCTGTGAATAATTTTTGTGAGTTTGAGCCAAACTGTTGACAATGGCCGGAAGCAGGCTCTCCAGGGCCTGGGAGAGCAATCTGGGGAAGGGCCGTTTTGCACCCGGTTTTATCCGTTACAGTCAACGGAGAGGTCAGGGGGTTCCAGAAACCACTGGTGACGGGTGAGGGAGGGACTGGATGAAAAGGGAGAGGACACTCCACAGGTGGTGCAGGGTGGTTAACCCTGAACAATCAGCTCAATACCAATAACAATGGGGGGATTTGTGGTTCCAGTCCCGGCGCTATTAGTTATGCCCCGAGGGCCCAGACAAGGGGAAGTTACCAGTTACCCCGACTTTCCACAGGTGCCTTATCTTAGAGGCAAAAAAAAAAAAAACACAAAAAAACCCCGCCTAGCAGTCTAGACAGAATACGATCTAAGTGGGGGAAGATACTGGCCTGGGACTCAAAAAAAAAATTAAAAATATTATAATTTCAGACGATCCTTGGGGGTGACTGCAGGCCTTCGCTGAGTCCGGTCAGCATGCGGGGCTCCGGCCCGAGAAGGACCACAATCACCAGACGCGGGTCAGGAGAGGAGCCCCGGGGGAAGGGGAGGGGGACAGCCCGGCGTGGGACGTGGTTTGTAGGTTTGGAGCTGCCCAAAGGTGACATTCTGCCCCAGCTGAGCCTTGTCGGGTCCGAACTCCCCTCGCTCCCGCCGCAAACACGCATGGCGACCGCCCAGCAGCTCCGGCGCCGCCCCGCGGGGGTTTCAGACCCGAACCGCCGGCCCGCGGCCGCGCATGCGCGGAGGGGAGAGCCCCGCCCACCGCCGCACGGAGCCCGCGGCTCCCGACGTGCGGGGCTCACATCCGGGTCTTACACTGGGGCTCACACCGGGGCTCACATCCGGGTCTTACACTGGGGCTCACACCGGGGCTCACATCCGGGGTAAAACCGGGGCTCACACCGGAGCTAAGCCGGGTCTTACTCCGGGGCTCACTCCCGGGGCCTTCGGAAGCCAGGCCACTGTCCGGGCTCTGACCGTAAACAGCAGGTTCCCGGTCCTCCCGCTGAAACCTGCCCGCCAGGCCCGCACCCGCACCCCGGTCCCCCCGAACCCGAACAACCGAACACACAGGCCGAGCTGAGGCCCAGGCACCCGGGCCTCCGAGGCTGGAGGCTCCAGACCCACAAACCTTCCCTCCCACACCCTGCCGTCCTGACCACCCCCACCCCCACCCCAGACAGACAGACAGCTACCTGGAAGAATTTGGGCTTTGTAAAAATGCTTTCCCCTTTAATATGAAGACGTTGCCATTTTTCTGTGTGTGTGTGTGTGTGTGTGTGTGTGTGTGTGTGTGTGTGTGTATACACATATATTGGTTTCAGAGAAGAAGGGAGAGAGAGAGAAGCGTCAGTGATGAGAGAACCGTGGATGGGGGCCTGCAACGCCGGCCTGAGCTGCGATGGGAATCGACCCTCGACCTCCGGTTGATAGGTCAACGCTGAGCCACACGGTCCGGGCCGGGTCTGGTTTTTAAGCCTGTGTGTGCGTGTGTGTGTGTGTGTGTGTGTGTGTATGTGTGTGGTGTGTAGGTGTGTGTAGTGTGTATGTGTATGGTGTGTGTATGTTTGTGTATGTGTATGTGTGTATGTGTGTAGTGTGTGTGTGTAGTGTGTGTATGCAGTGTGTATGTGTGTGTGTGTACGTGTGTGGTGTGTAGTGCGTGTGAGTGTAGTGTGTGTATGTGTGTATGTGTGCAGTGTGTGTATGTGTGCGTATGTGTGTAGTGTGTGTGTTGTGTGTGTGTGTGTGTGTGCAGTGTGTGTGAAGAATGCCTCCAGTACATGCTGTTATTATATAATAAATTTTACCTCCCAGCAGCCCTTCACCAACTGCGCAAAGTGACGGGTCCTGTTTGCCTTCCGTTTGTGGGTTCAGGGTTCGCAGAGCTGGTGACGTTTCTCCTCATTTCCGCCCATTTCCAGGCGCTTGTCTTCCCCAGGGGTGACCGGGGCCCAGCCCCGGCTCAGGAGTCTCAGGGCCGCTGTGGTGTTTGGCTGTGGTCACCAGGGGGCGCCCATCTCCGCAACATCAGGCTTAGGCGGCTTTGCCAGAAGCGAAATAAAGTTCAGCCTGGCAGGCCTGGCCCAGTGGGTGAGCTTTGACCTGTGAACCAGGAGGTCATGGTCACCGCACAGGCCTGGGTTGCGGGCTGGATCCACACTGGGAGGAAGCTGATCAATGATTCTCATCATGGGTGTTTCTAACTCTCCCTTCCTCTCTGGGGGAAAAAAAGATTTTAAAATGTAGAGTTTTGGTTTTCTACATTTGAAAGACGGAAGGACAACAGAGATTTAAACTAAGAAAGACGGAAGGACAACAGAGATTTAAAAAAAAAAAATATATATATATATATATATATATATATATATATATATATATATATATATATATATAATTGATATTTTTACAGAGAGGAAGAGAGAGGGATAGAAACATCGATGAAAGAGAATCATCAATCAGCTGCCTCTTGCACATCTCCCACTGGGGACGCGCCCACAACCAGGGTACATGCCCTTGACCGGAATCGAACCCGGGACCTTTCAGTCTGCAGACCAACGGTCTGTCCACTTGAGTCATACCGGTTTCAGCGACAACGGAGATTTATAACACCAGCTGTAAACAAGGAACATGAACAGGTAGGTCCCAGTTGCCAATGGTTTGCAGTGGTGTTACTGTAGAGAATAGGGAGGGAGTTTCTAGAAATCACAGCCTGTGAAATAAAACAACAGAAAACAAGCTGTAGCCTAGTTGAGTGTAGCATTTCCTTACGGGGTAGGAGGATGCTCCTTGGCCGATGCTTTGAGGACAGGGTGACATACATATGTGTACAGCGAAAGCGTGGATTGGAGGGGAAATCGTTACTGAACTTGAGGCGTTCCCTCTGCTCCGGAGGGAGACGCTGCCCTCAGGTAGCTTCCGTTCCTTGCAGCAAGTGGAGGCGGCAGGGACTCACACCCAATGTGAGTCTCACAGAAGCAAGGCGAGCCAAGGCTTAGGCACACAGTCTGGTCACTTACATGCTCATTTCCTGCTCTGCGGTTGGCTGAACTTAACTGGTTGGGGTCAGTCAGGTCAAGCTCATCTGGTTAGAGCTGTGTCTGCAAAGACACTGTTGGGTGTTTTAACATTTAGCAAGAACTGCCCAGACCTGAGACCTGTGTGGGAGTTAACAAAATAACCAAGGTGTTACAATGCAGATGGTAGTGTTTCTAGAGCATAGAACAACAGTGACGTCATCCATTACAGTGTAATGAAAATAGTTCATGAAACAAACTTAGAAGCAGTACAAAATTCCCCCAAATAACATAATCCTGTGTAATGGAAGGGTAATATGCAAATGAACTGAACCTTGGAATGACCAGATGCTATGATATGCACTGACCACCAGGGGGCAGACGCTCAATGCAGGTCAGTGCGCTTTCACAGGGGGAGGTCCGCTCAGCCAGAAGCAGGGCAGCTGCGGTGGCCTGAGCTTCTCCCACCTCCCAGGCAGCGCGAAGGGGCAGCGAGCAGGTGGGTGGTGCGAGGGGAGCGGGCGCAGGCTGGGCTGAGGGACTCCGCCGCCGAGTGCACGAGTTTTCATGCACCGGGTCTCTAGTGAGCATATATGTACGGCGGACAAATACACAGGAAAACCATGCAGTGCTCAACACAGCTGCTCATGCCTTTATTAAAGCAGGTGCCTTGGATGCTTTTTACACTTTCATTCCGCAGTGAGACAGAGGAACCCACGATATTGATAGAGTTTATCGTTGGCTAAAATGATAGCTTCGGGTTTACTCCTCTTCAATGTTTTTACAGCGAGCACGTATTACATGTATCTTTGGTCTCTTGAGCCACCTGCCCTCCGAGACAGAAGGCCTGGTGCCACAGCTTTGCAACCAAATATATGCGGCAGCTGCAGCGAGAAAGCACCAGCTGGCCCTGGCCGGAGTGGCCCAGTGGTTAGTGTCAGCTCTTGCACCGAAGGGCCGCAGCTTCCGGAGAATCCCAAGCCCGCAAACTCCAGCAGCCTGGCTGCGGAGGGAGGAGCTGAGATGGCGCTGGCGTGTGGGGTCGCAGGGGCGGGAAACTGAGACAGGCTCTCCCACCAGCCTGGGATCCTCAGAGCGGTCACTGTGTGTGTGTGGGGGGGGACTGTTGGCAGGCAGGAACCCAAAACCTAAACGGGGGGCGGCAAGAGCAGGGGTTTCTGGGCCAGCTCCCATCTGCGGGGTGCAGCTCTGTCCTCCAGCACCAAGGTCGCCCGGGCGCCTGCTCTGAGTCTCCGACCATCTCCTTCCGGCAGGGTCTGCAGCTGCACCTCATTCAAGGTCGGCGAGGACATAGCTGCCCAGGGTGCCTCCTGCAGAGACAAGGATCTGAGCATCATCTTCCCTCTCCCTCACCTCCCTCACCCACTCACCTCAACCTCTCCCGCCCCAAGGAATACATTTTAAAATATAATAAAAAGCTGGCCGGGACCGGTTTGGCTCAATGGATAGAGCGTCGGCTTGGGGACTGAAGGGTCCCGGGTTCGATTCTGTTCAAGGGCATGTACCTTGGTTGCGGGCACATCCTCAGTAGGGGGTGTGCAAGAGGCAGCTGATTGATGACTCTCTCATCGATGTTTCTAACTCTCTCCCTTCCTCTCTGTACAATATCAATAAAATATATATATATTTTTTAAAAAGCTAATATGCAAATTGACCAAAGGCAGAACCGTCACTATGACTCACACTGACCACCAGGGGGCAGAGGCTCAATGCAGGAGCGGCCCGGGTGGTCAGTGCTCACACAGGAGCGCGGCTCAGCCAGAGCCGGGCTCACCGCAGGCCAATGCAGTGGTGGTGGCTGGAGCCTCTCCCTCCGCCGCAGAACTTCTCCCCGCCCGACCAAGCCGTCAGTCAGACGTCCCCGGAGGGCACGGCCTGGCTGAGGGGCGACCACCCCGAGGGACCCCTGACCTCCACCCCGACTGCACGAATTTCGTGGGCCTCTCGTCTATGTACGTTTTTATTGGTTTCAGAGAGGAAGGGAGAGTGAAACATCCATGATGAGAGAGTCATGGATCAGCCGCCGCCTGCATGCTCCCCCCTGGGGATCCAGCTTTCCTTCTGTGGAAGCCCTGCCATTCCTGTTCCCCTGGGGAAGCCAGTGCCGCAGGGAGAGCAAGCAGAGGCCCTTCTCGGGTGCCCTGGGCCCTCCCTGCCCACACCCTGCAGAAGCCTGCACGCCCTGGGCAGACTTCCTCCGTCTTCCTACTCACGGGAAGCCCGCCTCCTCCGCAGGAATCTGAACGAAGCCCCAGCGACGAAGATGAGGACGACACCGGTGAGGGTCCCGCTGATGATGCCAGAGACCAGGGCACCCGACACAGGGGGCTCTGAAACGGCAGCAGCCAGTGGGCGCCAGGGAAGCTGGGCCCTGGGCACCCCCCACCCTCACCCAGGGCACCCCCTTCTGTCCAGGGCACCCCTCCCTCCCAGGTCACCCCTCTCGCACAGGTCACCCACTCCTGCCCAGGTCACCCCTCCCACCCAGAGCACCCCCTTCTACCCAGGGCACCCCTCTTGCCCAGGTCACCCCCTCCCTCCCAGGTCACCCATCTCACCCAGGGCACCCCTCCCGCCCAGGGCACCCCCTCTCGCCCAGGTCACCCACTCCCGCCCAGGTCACCCCTCCCACCCAGAGCACCCCCTTCTACCCAGTGCACCCCACCCGCCAGGGCACCCCTCCCGCCAGGTGGACCCCTCTGTCCCATCCTGGACGGTGTCCTCGCCGGGCTGGCCCGTACCCCAGGTGGCCGTGAGGGGCTGCTCCAGGCCGGGGTGCTGCACCTGGCAGGCATATCCCTGCTCCTCGCCGGGGGGCACGGCCAGGGCGGCCCAGGCCTGGTAGGTCCCGTCCCCGTTGGGCAGCAGTTCCGCGGGCTCCGCGTCCAGCGGCCGCCGGTCCCTCAGCCACCGCAGGGTGATGCTGGGCGGGTAGAAGCTCAGAGCCTGACACCGCAGAGTGGTGGCTGCCGAGGCCACGTGGTGCGTCACCCGCACCGAGGGGGGCACTGGGGGAAGAAGGAGCGTGTGGGGAGGGGACCCCGCCATCCTCCCCACGAGCACCCCGACCTTCACTTCCCGTCTACTCCGGGTGGGAGGAAGGACACGTGTGCAGGCCACGCTGCAGACACCCACGTGTGTCCTACAAAATCCTGGCCGGTGTTGCTCAGTGGGTAGAGCGTTGGCCTGCAGACCGAAGGGTCTTGGGTTCAATTCCGGTCAAAGGCACATACCACAGTGGCCCAGGCCCTGGCTCTGGTTGGGGCGGGTATAGGAGGCAACTCATGGATATGTCTCTCTCACATTGATGTTTCTGTTTCTCCCTCCCTCTTCCACTCTTCACTACAAATCAATGGGAAAATATCCTCGGGTGAGGGTTTTTAAAAAAATGTTCCAAGATGCTCTCCCTCTGAGGTGTGCCACAGGGAGAGGAGTCACAGCCCCTCAGCCTGGGGTCCTGTCCCTCCTGTCAGCCCCCCACAACCCCTGTGGGCCCTGTCTCCTGCTGTGTTAGCCTATTTAATGGGCCTTATTGGGTTGAATCCGGTAAAACCGCCTTCATGAGAATCGTGCATGAGAATGATTGGATGTCGGCAATCTCACCTGGTTCAACCCAGCACGGATTCTTTGCTTTCAATATATGTAATTATTTTATGTGTTTTTATTGATTTTTAAAGGGCACGAGGAAGGGCCAGAGGTGCTCCTGTAAGACAGTGGCCGGCAGGGCCGTGGCCCCGAGGCTGCGGCCACTCTATTTCCCCCCTCCCCCCTCCGTAATTCCTTGTGCACTTGTTTCCCGGGATATTTGACGTTTCTGGTCCTAAAAGGCACCCAGGCTCCAGGCCCAGGGTTCTCGGTGAAATCGGGACCAGATGCGCCATCGGCTCCACGGAAGGGGAACCGGGAATGAAAGCCAGGACTCGTGGCCTGTGGCTGCTCCCACGGGAACGGGGAGGCCCGCCCTGGCCGGTGTCGGCCCGTGGTTAGAGCGTCGGCTCGCGAGCCGCAGGCTGCGGGTGGATTTCCTGGCGAGGGCAAGTCCCTGGGCTACAGGCTTGATCCCAGCCCCAGTGGGAGTGCGTGCTGAAGGCAACCAGCCTCTCTCTCCCCCTTCCGCTTTCTCTAAAAAAGCAAGGGAAACATCCTCAGGTGAAGATGAACAAACAAACAAAGGAGGCGACCTTGGAGGGGAACCTCAGCTCAGCCACAGGGTCCCGGGCATGGCTCCCCTCTGCCCCCCCGCAGGACGGTCCCGGGCATGGCACCCCCTGCAGGGCGCCCCCCGTACCTCGCCGGTCCAGGGCCCCGGCGCCCAGCTCCAGCAGCCGCCCCAGCTGCTCGGGGCACAGCCGCTCCAGGTAGGCCCGGTTCTGCCGGGCCCGCACGGGGCTCCCTTCCCACTCCATCTTGGTGGCCCAGGCCCCGGGCGCCGCCCGCCAGCTCAGCGTCTCGGGGCGGAACTCCAGGTGGTCCTCGCCGTCGTAGCCGTAGGCCCAGAAGCCCCTGGTGCTGTTGTCCGCGCTCACCTCGCAGCCCAGGGCCACCTGCAGGGTGTGGGCCCCTGGAGACACCCCCAGATTCGTCCGAAACCAAACGAGCGGGCGGCTCTCTGCTCCATCCCGGGACCTAGGGGCCTCAGGAAGCAAACTCCTTCCCGCCTCCATGCCCCCGGGACCCCAAACCTCCTTCCTGCCCCCAGCACCCCAAATCTTCCTGCCCCCCAGCACCCCAAATCTCCCCCCCCCCAGCACCCCAAACCTCCTTCCTGCCAGGCCCCGGCCAGCCCCGCCGCACCGGCGCTGTGGTTGCGGTTGTCCATGATGGTCCAGAAGTCCAGCGTGAACATGTGGTCCCAGCCTTTGAGGCTCTGGCTCAGCTGCAGCCACAGCGGCCCGGCCGCCCTGAGCCACGGGGCGCGGGGCTCGGCGCGGCGCCGCTCGTGGTCGTAGGACACGAACAGCTGCTCGTCCACGAAGCCCGCGGCCCGGAGCAGCGGCAGCCCCAGCTCCGGCTCCGTGGCGCCCATCAGCCGGAAGCGCAGCGCGTGCGGCCCTGGGAGAGAGGCGTGGGCCGGGGCGGGGGCTGGGGCCGGGCTGCGGGTCCTCCCACCCGGTCCCTGCGGGTCCTCCCACCCGGTCCCTGCGGCTCCGCTCCCACCCGGTCCCTGCGGGTCCCTCCCACCCGGTCCCTGCGGCTCCGCTCCCACCCGGTCCCTGTGGCTCCGCTCCCACCAGTTTCCTGCGGCTCCGCTCCCACCCGGTCCCTGCGGGTCCCCCCACCCGGTCCCTGCGGCTCCGCTCCCACCCGGTCCCTGCGGCTCCGCTCCCACCCGGTCCCTGCGGGTCCTCCCACCCGGTCCCGGCTCCGCTCCCACCCGGTCCCTGCGGGTCCTCCCACCCGGTCCAGGCTCCGCTCCCACCCGGTCTCTGTGGCTCCGCTCCCACCCGGGTCCGGCTCCGTCCGCGCAGAGCCGGGCCTCCCCCCCGGGGCTGTCCCCCGTTGCCCGCGCGGCCGGGGCGGGACGGGCTCCCCCGAGGGGCGGGCTGGGCCCGGCTCAGCTCGGAGCGCGGAGGTGGGGCCGGTGCTCCGGGCGTTCGCGCCGCCAGAGGCCGATCAACAGCCTCCAACCTTGTCCACCGCCCTCAGGGCCCCGCGACCGGGGCCGGGCTGACCTCTGACCTCTGACCTCGCACGGAGGGGGGCCCATTGCGAGGAAGGCCAGGGTGGACCCCGGGGCCCGGAACAGGGGTGCAGGGGCGCACCGGGCCCGGGGGAAACCCGTGTCCCCCCAGGGCGCCAGGAGCCTGGCTCCTACACTCGGACCCGGAGAGGCCTCCCCTGAGCGCCCGGCCCGGCGGCCCCGGCGATGGGAGCCTTGGCCGCAGGCCCCGCGGGGCAGCGCCTGAACCCCCCTCCTCCCCTCCCCGAACCCACAACCGAACCCCCGGGCCCCACAGAGGCAGTGACAGTCCCAGGATCAGGAAAACCGCAGATTCCTAACGGGGCGGGGGTCGCCCGGCCCAGGCGCGGAGCTCAGACCCCAGTCCTCACCGCAAACACGCCCCCCGCGCCCGCCCCCCGCCGCACGGGACCCCTCCCCCCCCCCGCCGCACGGGACCCCTCCGCGCCCGCCCCCCGCCGCACGGGACCCCTCCGCGCCCCCCGCCGGGGACGCGCCCGCAAGCACAGGGCCAGGGGCGCGGAGGTCCGTCCCGGGCGGCGCAGCGGGCAGGAGAGACGCGACACCCGAGACTCACGTCCCGGGACCTGCAGCCGAGCTCCGCTCGCGATCCGATCCGCAGAGCGGGGGCCGCGGGTGGGGACCAGGCTGGCGCCCCACGGCCCGGTCCCCCCTCCCGGGAGGGGCTGCGCGGGGCCCCCGGCTCCCCGCAAACCCGGCGCGCCCCCTGCCCCCGCGGCCCCACGGCACTCACGCGCTCCGGCCTGAGGGGCCTCGGCCCGGGCCCCCAGCGCCCCCAGCGCCCCGAGCAGCGGGAGCAGCAGGCGCAGCGCGCGCCCGGCCGGCGGGCCCATCGGGGCGGCGGGCGGGGACTCGGTGCCCGGAGCGGTCACTCCGCGGCCATCGCCGCCGCACAGCTCCCGGCCCGCGCAGGCCCTTTCCGGCCGCGGGTGCGTCTTTGCCCTCGGCCCGGCCTTCCTGCCCCGAGCCCCGCGGGGGAACCGCCCTGGGACCGATCCCGCTGCGCCCCAGACCCCAAGCCCCAGGTTGCTGACCCTGGAAAGGGCGATTAACCACTTTCCTTTCTTATCTTTTTAAGATCGAGGTCAGAGAGGAAGGGGGAGAGATGGAAGCATCAGTGATGAGAGGGAGTCATGGATCAGCTGCCTCCTGCACGCCCCCCACGGGGGACGGAGCCCGCAACCCGGGCCTGGGCCCTAAGTGGACGCTCAACTGCTGAGCCACACGTGCTGGGCGAATTTTCTTTATTTATTATGTGTTTTAAGAGGGAGCGAGGACACCTTGCAGGGGGACAAAGAACAGCGACCTGGAGAGCGCGGCCTAAGGGGGTGCCCGCAGCGGGCAGGGGTCCAGGCTGGGCCCCCGGAACGGCCTGGCTCCATTGGGGCCCCGGAGGGAGCTGGTCAGGGCCGGGTCATCTGGGTGCACAGCGACGTTTTTCCAGGAAAGCTCGGTGGGAGCGGGGCGCAGCTGCAGGTCTGGGCGGGCTTTACCCCCTTGGCCATGGCGTTATCTCAGGCAGGTGCCTGTGCTGGGCGCCTGGCAACCGGGGCTCCCCCACCTGGGGAGACAGGAAAGCAAAAGGAATGCTGGTAGTTCAAACTTTAAAATAATAATAATAATCTTCACCAGAGGAGCCTGCAGCTGAGGCTTGTGCACTTGACGGACTCAAACCCTGGACCCTTCAGTCCTCAGGCCAAGACCCTCCCCACTGCGCTACCCAGGCCGGGCAGGAGTTGAGCCTTTTAAAGCAGGAATTCTCTTCTGCAGTTCCTGCACCAGAGCGTCATCCTCACTGGGAACCTGTCAATTCCGGGACAGATCCCAAATCACCGAACCGCAAAGGCAGGCGTGGGGCCTGCTTGTCTGTTTTTTGTTTTTGTTTTTTAATTTTTAAAAATATATTTTATTGATTTTTTTACAGAGAGGAATGGAAAGGAGAGAGATAGAAAGTTAGAAAGATCGATGGGAGAGAAACATCGACCAGCTGCCTCCTGCACAGCCCCTACTGGGGATGTGCCCGCAACCAAGGTACATGCCTTTGACCGGAATCGAACCTGGGACCCTTCAGTCCGCAGGCCGGCGCTCTATCCACTGAACCAAACCAGCCAGGGCCTGTTGGTCTGTTTTAAGCACTACCCCCCCCCCTCCACACACACACACACACACACCATTCTGATTTGCAGTCGACTGGCTAAGGGCTCTTGCCTGCCCCTGGGCAGGGGCTGGGCGGAGCGACCACACAGCTCCCACCTGCCCCCCCCCCACCCCCCGCGGTGTCCACCAGCTTCATGTCCGCGCAGCCAGGGGTCTTGGCTCTGCAGCTCAGCTCAGCCCCCATCTCAGCTCAGTTCCCACCGCCTTAGAGGCTCCATCACATTTCCCTTTGTCAACGGCCCGCGTGCGAGCAGCTCGTCATAGCAACTGACGTACAGACTCACGGGACTTACGGTTTATGGAGAAAAATTGAAAGCACATAAGCAACATGGGGAAAATAAAAACCAGCTACAGCCTTCTCAGACATAAAACGCTAAGGACATAAAACTCCCGCTAGGGGTTTTTCACCGACAGCGCTCCAGTTTGGATGAGAATGTCTAACTGCCCGGTTTTAGTCCTTTCCCAACACTCAGGGGCAGAGTGAATCCAGCAATGCGCGAGCGAGTGGGTGCGTGATCAAGGTGAGACTGTGAAGCCCAGCACGCGTGGCTCAGGAGGGTGAGTGCCATCCTGCGAACCAGGACGTCACAGTTTGATTCCCAGCCAGGGCACAGGCCCAGGTTGCCGGCTGGACCCCCAGTGTGGGGCGTGCAGGAGGCAGCCGATCCGTGATTCTCTCTCATCACTGATGTTTCTCTCTCTCTCCCTCTCCCTTGCTCTTTGAAACAAAATAAGATTAGAAAAAAAAATAAAATAAAAAATAAGATTAGACAGTGAAGCCAATTGCGACCCCCACCCCCCTGAAGCCCTGCTGGCTCCCGTGTTGCCGGGGCCCCTGGGACTGAGGACCCCAGAGACGTCCTATTGCAGCCGTAACCTACAGGAGCAGCAGGCAAGGGGTCAAAAGTCACAGCTCCCCGGTCCCACTGACAAGTCCGCTTCTCAGGGCAAATGTCCGCCGAGTCCAAAGGCCTGTTTGCTCCCCAGGGACTCGTCCCTGCATCCTGGCCTCACTTCCACCTCTGTTTCTTTTTAAAATTTTTAAATATTTTTTTAACCTAAAACTCATTAAGCGCATTAGCAAGGACTTAACAGGTGGGTGGTATTTTAATTTAATGCACTTCATAAATAGACAGTAATCTCTTCGACTGTAGCTCATATTCTAATGTGTGTGTGTGTGTGAGTGTGTGTGTGCGCGCTTACACAAGTTGCCCTCGGTCCCCAGGGCTGTCCTGGGCAGATCCGAGCTCCCCGTCTCCGTGCCCTCGCTGGGGAGTGGCAGTAGCTGGCGTGGGATTATGGGGTCGTGGTCAGGAAGGAGTGAGACTCGCGCATGGACTGTCTGGGGCACGGGAAGTGCTCAGAGGACTGCGGTTTTTATCAGTGTTCTGTCACTCTGACACCAACGGTTTCCGGGTTGTGCCACATTGTCATCAACCAAATGTGTATATAAAATTTTTAAATATATTTTACTGATTTTTTTTTACAGAGAGGAGAGGACAGGGATAGAGAATTAGAAACATCGATGAGTGAGAAACATCAATCAGCTGCCTCCTGCATCCCCCTCCCCCACTGGGATGTGCCCACAACCAAGGTACATGCTCTTGACCGGAATCGAACCCGGGACCTTTCAGTCCGCAGCCTGACGCTCTACCCACTGAGCCACACCGGCCAGGGCTGTATATATAATTTTTAATATATGTCCCCTTTTCCCCCCTGGAGCCCTTCCAGCCCAGCACACCCCCCACTCCAGGCCTTCTCCACCTTATTGTCAGGGTCCATATATGCACAGAAGGTCATTGATTGATTACCTCCTACCTGCTCACCTTCCCCTGATTTCCCTTAAGACCACGCTCTGTTCCATGCGACCACAGGAGGCAGAAGTTTCTGAGCACCTGAGGATGATTTATAGGAACGACCTTTTACAGAAAACTGTTAACCAATGCAGACACTGGGAGGGAATGGTCGCAAACTGGTGGATTAGGAGTAAACTGTCTGCAGCAATGCATTTTGGGTCAGATAGAGTGCCCTTGGGTCTGGGGACACACCACCATGCAAGCATCTGGCTTAGTGGGGATGTGGGGGTGTGGTGGTGGTGGGGTTTGAGTCCTAGGCAATGCCTACTCCTGTTCATAGTGTTTTGTTTTTTTAAATATTTTCATTGATATTAGAGAGGAAGGGAGGGGGAGAGAGATAGAAACATCAGTGATGAGAGGATCAGCAATTGGCTGCCTTCTGCCTTCAGTCCTGGGGATAAAGCCCACAACCCAGGAATCAAACGGTGACCTTTTGGTTCATAGGTCAATGCTCAGCCACCGCACACCATCAGCCTGGCTATTTCCTTTAATTGTTAGCCTCTGGCTCTCGCTGCCTTGAGCCCTTGAAGGGCAAAATGGCCTCCATATTTAACATTTCCCCACCCCGAGGGAAACTGCCCATATGCGTTTTTTATTGTGACGAGAAAAGGGGCAGTCTATTCCCACGTCCCCCTGTGCGCAGCTTGTGTTTTTGTAAACTGCCGTGCTTTGTCTCATTTCTGATGAGCCTGTGTGTGCTTTAAGGGCACGAGAATTCCGATCGACCTGAAGGCGAAGGCACAAACTCTCCAGGTCTGTGAGAGGGATTGTAACAGCTGTTTTGTAACATGGTGGTTAGAGTGCAGTTAAAAGTTTTAAAAACATTCCCCCCAGGAAGCCCTCAGCACAGCGCCTGGCATCTGAAGGAGGCTCCCCGTGTGGATTACCATCATGTGCCCTAAGGTACTGCTGATGATGTCACATTGCTAATCAGAGGCTGCAGGGCTACTGAGGTGGGTCCGCGCCCTTTTCCCGATGGCCTATGATGAGGTCACCTAACTATTAGCATAATAACACCGCCCAGCTGGTGTGGGTCAGTAGTTGCCTTCGACCAGGAGGTCACGGGTTTGATTCCTGGTCTGGGCACAGGCCCGGGTTGCGGGCTCAATCCCCAGTGGTAGGGGGGTGCAGAAGGCAGCCGATCCATGATTCTCTCTCATCATTGATCTCTCTCTTTTTTCCTCCCCTACCTCACTCTCCCTTCCTTCCTCTCTGAGATCAATAAAAACATGTGTATATATTAAAAAAAATAATGGCGCTGAAAAGATAAACCCTATGCAACCTCTCTCTGTCTCAGGGGCTGTGATGCTGAATTTTTTACGCACGTGGAAGGACACTGAAGTGGCTTCTCCATGAGACAGTGTCCTCCCATTTCCTCTTTTGGCCTCATTTCTGCAGAGACGGACAGACCCGGCCCCTTTCCCAGGCTTCCCCCTTATTCTAAAGCGTGGGCACCTCGAGGGTAGTTACCTGTGTGTCTCCTGGTCACTCACTGGTTTGGGGAGTCCATGAACCAGCCCACATTATTGTTCTTTATATTTTCCCCCTAAAGGTCCTTCAAGCCAGCTTCGGTCTGACTGCTCTAAGCACGGACTCCAGGATCACAGCTTCCTCAACTGTGAGTCACAACCATTTTTTTTTTTTCCCGCCAAGAGGAAATGAGCTTTAAAATGTGCCCATTTGCAAAACAAAAATGCTGATGGTCAGTAATCTTTCCATGAAAGATGCTAACTCTGGTGATTATTGACCTCTGTCACATTTATTCTAAAACACCCCATAATGATATATTGTCTTGCGTATCAATAGTACCCTGGTGTATT